AGGGATTTAGTTTTTTTCAAAGTTGACAATTCTTTGATTTTTTTGCTGCAGAACTGCTGAGCCCATTTTGTAGACTGGGCTAATATTTTCGTGGATGTGGATGGGCAGGAAATGTGAGGCGGGGAGGAGGTGCGGCGTGTGGAGCGTGGATGCTAGCGGGTCTGGCAGTGGCGAGCGTGAGGAGGTTGCCGCGCACAGCGCGTGGAGCTCTGAACAGGGACAACTGATTGGAAGCCGATTATTCGATTATTGAAAAAGTTGACAACTTTTTCAATAATCGATTATAATCGATTATGTCGATTAGTTGTTGCAGCCCTAATTAAGTATTAAGCTAGTATTACGAATATAATATAAACAAATAAATTTTTAGTCCTAAACATAGTCTCTTTTCATGATTAGTCCCACAAAATGGGGGTTTTGCTATTATTTACAAATGAATTGATAACTCTGCTGGGAGAAAATATTTAGCTTACTGCCAGCATATTTCTGTTGGGTATAAGAGCCATGAAAGTAAATGCATGTTTTCCTATATCTGTATTCTGTTCACATATTTTCTTGCAGTAACACTAAACAAACTGCTGTCTTATGGATTCAAGTAAATGCTTCTGATTGTTGGATTCTTATTGGTTTTTCTTCCGTTAGCCAGGGGACATAGTGAAGAAACTTCGGGAAGCAAGAGCCACCAGCCCTGTGGCTACTTCTCAGCAAATCATTATGCAGAAAACTATCCCTTCATCCCCAGAGGTTATTTCTTATTTGTTTGAATTAGAGAAAATCCCCCATAACAAATATTAGTTGGTGCCTCTCATCATTAAGTAATAGAAGACTATATGTGGTATCAAAAGATGATTCATATAAAATCATTTTTTGAAAGACTTTTGCATTAAGGGTGATCATAAGCACTTGACCATGTAGCACTTGGGTGAGGATAAGACCATTTATGGCTATTCTAGGCCTTTCTGACTGTTGGTAAATGTTTATACAGTTTGGCATATCCTTGAGAAGCCAGAAATATGCAATTAACTTCAACTTTTTTACCTGGCAGGCAAGTCACCACATGTATACTGGCAAGAAGGGCATAGGTCTCTCCACCCATTCTTGGGGGAGACATCTACCTGTCTATGACCACCCTATAATAAAAGTTGTGCCACAGTGAAATGGTCCCATAGTTAGGTGCCCTCATTGTAAACAAGGACTTGTGTGGCTCCCTGTCATGATTATATTTAAGTTGTGTGAAAACTCAAAAAATAAATTGTAAGTATTGTTCATAGCAGCCAACTATACACTTATTTTTTCCAACTGTATCAGAAAAATACCAGGATTAATCAATCAAATTGGTTGCCATGAGGAATACACACATTATCTTTTCCTTTATTTGATATATAAAGCTTGATGTGTATTTTATCATTGGAAAGCCTAGATAAACTCTATTCAAATATAGAGCCTAACAATAAGGACAAATAAACGCTAATTTAGATTTTATATCTCACATATAGGGCAAAGACGATTGGGTTCTTATAGACAAAGTACCCACTAAAATAGTTGATGGTGAAACAAAAACCATGATCACTTACAAAGTGACAACTGTGAGCAGTGACAAACCAGTTGAAACATTTAAATCCAGCACCTTTGGAACTCAGAGCCTGGAAGCTTTGAAAATGGAAATTAGCGCCCAAGAAGAAGAAAACAGGCAGAAAATGTACACATTAGGAAAATCATATGACGCAGTATCTGGAAAAATTGTAACAATGACGAGTAAAGGTAAAGAAGGGGAAAAGATATTACAGCCCTCAGCCTTAGAAGTCAGACAGAAGTTGGAAAAGGACATTTCTCAAACCGTGAAAATCATTCCCATCACTGTGGCAGGAAAGTATGAAGTTGTTGAAACATTTAGTGAAGAGAAAGGTAGGAAAACTCCTGAGGCACCAACCATAAAGAGGAGAATGTCAGAGTCACTGACCCCCATTAAAGAGTCAGATTCCCAGCTGGCTAGCCCAATAGAAGAGGGGCTGAAAAAAGTCCATGATGCAGACACCTCTGTGAAGATGGTAGAAACGATGATCACAGATAAAAGAGCAGAATATCAAGATTATGAAGTCAGTAAGACAGAGGTTCCTGCATGGAAGGATAGGAAGCTCTCAGAATGGCGATATACACGAGAACAACCTTTTACAATTGCAACTGCTCACTATGTCACCGAATCGTCTGCATCCAAAGTGGTGGTAACAAGTGCCAATGACCCCATCCTCACAATTAAAAGCATGAATTGCAGACATCCCCCTGCTTCACAGTTCCTTCTTTTACTTGCAGCTTAACTTTATGTTGGCAGCCAACTTTTATTTATCCGTTTTTATTATGAGCACTGCAGCCTTAGCGGGCATTGCAAGGCTTTATAACTGAACATAAAAAAAACCATGACTAAAAATATTTTAATGTAACTGCTTTGCCATATCAATAAAATTGTGCTTAAGCCAGCATTTTTACAGATCTAACAGCTTATTGGCTCTATTCAACAGGGTCTAACAAAAATGTATGCATTTAGAAAAGGGTATTAAACATAGCTGTGGAAAACTATTGGGCTTATGTAATCACATAATGAAAAGAGCAACAGTTTTCAGCATCTTATAGCCAGCTATTGAAAACTCACATTCAATAGCTTAATTTTGGGAAGAAAACCGATGATTTAGTTGCCCTAGATTATTGAAAAACACTGCTAATTGCTATATATTAGTGAGTGATAGCTAAAAAGAAACTGACTTTTATTATTCTGACCATGCAGAAGATTGGAGCGTGTTATACCCTTTTGGCTAACTTAATAACGATACAGACTTTCGGGATACCTTATATTACTTCTCCAGGCTTTATACACTCCTGAAACTCGCACAGTAGTGTAAAAAACTTAAATACACAATCAAAATTGTTGATTTTTTTTTAACATATCTGAACAGCCAAACATTGCATCTCTATTAAAATTGTGCCTACAGATAAAAGGGACATACTTGAATAAGAACAAAAGTAAAAATTGCTATTTCAATCATTTATTCAAAAAATATATAAATAGAGGTAATGGTGTACTGTGGAAAAAGTACCATCAGAAATGCAGAAATCAGCATCAAAAGCTGATATTGCCCCCCACCCCCTACTTATTGTAAGCATTTTGCAAAACTGCTTTAGAACAGATGGCATCAAGCACACTTTGATGAGACACAGAATGAATAATACACTCAGTGACTGCTAGCTGCCCAGGCCCTGTAGCAGCAACCCCATACAGTTTCAAGGTTATGAAGTTGTTTTCCTGAGATACTGTCTTTTACCATGACCAAACAACCCTTTGATTGACCAGTCTTCAGCACATTGTTCCAGAAGACCTGGTTTTTGCCTATATTTTAAGTGGCATTTTGCCTTCACCTCAACTGTTGCAAGAGTTATCTGAACACCCCACATTAAAATGTTGGGATTCTTGGAGACTTCTGTTAGCATCAAAATGTCACTTCTTACTTACTGTGTACTTTTCCATATGACAAATCTGCATTATAGTGGGTATAGAAAAGAATAATTCCCCTTTACAATAATCACATTTTGTTGCTTTTTGCATTTGCATTTGAAATAAAGAGAGAGACTTATTGTTTTATCCAGCTGTGCAACTTATAAAAGCCAAGTGAAAGATATAACACCAACATGTCAGAGAAAAATTCAAAAACAGAATTCTGAGTTGTAAAAAGGATCACCCCCTTGTGTCAGTATTTTTTTAACCACATTTTGCTTTAATTACAGCCATTAGTCTGTTGGGATATGTCTCTACTAACTTTGCATATCTAGTCTTTGCAATATTTGCCCACTCTTCTTTGCAGAACTGCTCAAGTTCAGTTAAATTTGAAGGTGACCGTTTGTGGGCTGCAGTCTTTCCTGACAAGTGCTCCATTCCCTGCTGCAGAGAAACATCCCCATAACCGGATATTGCCACCTCTATACTTTACAGTAGGAATGGTGTTATATGGTTAGTGAGCAGTATTGGATTTCCACCAAACAATTACATTTTAGTCTCATCTGATCATAACACCTTTTTCCATGTGGCCTCATAATCGTCAATGTGCGTTTTGGCAAAGCTCAGTCGTGACTGCATGTGGCCTTTCTTGAATAGTGGCTTTTTTCTTGCAACCCCCCCATACAAGCCACATTGGTGGAGAATTTGTGATATTGTCACATGCCCACAATGACCACTCTTTGACATAAATTCCTCCTCTGGCCTCTCTGACCAGTTTCCTCCTGGCTCTTTCATCCAGTTTGGAGCGACGTCCTGATCCAGTGAGGGTCTGTGTTGTACCAAATACCTTCCACTTCTTATCCCGGAGATTTTTTAACAGTGCCTTGCCACCCGTAGTTGATTCTTTGCTTCAGTTGCACTACCAGGGACTGAACTACTCCAGGAAAGCTCTTTTCATGCTGTGCTAATCAAAACGACATAATGATCACAGTTGAAAGTCAAATGGCTTTGTGTGCCATTAAGAAGGTGATTAGTTACACCTGATTGCGATTACAAGTCATTTTTAGGAGGGGGTAATCCTTTTTCCAACTCAGTGATTCTGTTTTTGAATTTCTTAAAAAAAAATTCTGACATGTTGGTGTTTTATCTTTCACTTGGATGTTATAAGTTGCACTGAGTAAATAAAGCTGGATAAAACAAAAACTGTGTGTTTTCATTTCAAGCCGCAAAGCAACAAAATGTAATTATTTTAAAGGGGGTGATTCTTTTCTATACCCACTGTATGTTCATTTAGATCATGAAAATAAATACAGCATTTCAATTTTATGTGTCATTTGTGCAAATATCACCTTTTCTGTAGGCACTATTTTAATCAAGATTTGATATTTGTCTGTTCATGTACGTAGAAAAAGTCAGCTATTTCCATGGGGTGTACTTACTTTTTCACAAACCTGTGTTCATACAAAGAGTGACAAGGAAGAGCAATAAAGTATAAATATTAAAAAAAAACTTTTTTTTTTTTATATTTCATTGCTACACCTTGTAACTTTGTGTATACATATGTGGGGTTCACAATCATCTTCAGAATTGTATAACTCCTATAAAAGGGGTTTAAGGGATTCCAAAAGCTTGGATCTTTAATAACTTAAGTTAGCTAATAAAGGCTATCACTTAAAAGCAAACTTTGTGAATTAATCAATGGCTAACACAGTACAGTACTCTACTAGCATGCTAAGCCTCTGAAAGCTGACTTCTCACTGGCTGCTGTGGTTTAAAACGCACTCTTTCACTTTATACTGTAAGCTAATTAATTTTACATGTGCTTTAATCCATACTGAAAGACACTGCATGTTCAGCATCTTCCATCCCACATGGAAACTATTTAACTAGATGATATTGTAGAATGTGAGAGTACACCATAGCACAGTGTGCTATCACATACCACATATGATCAGGGTAACAGCAGAACTCTACAGAGTGCGCTGATAGTTTTCTTGACGTCTGTAAAGGGTTCTAAAAAATAAAATTATTTTTATCATTAGTGGGATTGGGTGTCTGAGTTGCCAGATTTAAAGAGATGTGGTTCAATCATTTGTTTTTAATGGCAAGCCATTTATGCTTCAAGTATTTAATCACTTCTGTCCATAATCATTTGTAAAAGTTGGAGAAGATGACACTGGTTGTGAAAATGTTTTGTTGTGGTCATCAATACCCAGTAAGATGAAATAGACCTTCCAAAGCATTTTTGTGGGGTTATGCTTTATTTTTTTAGGTCTCAGTACTGAAATTCAATGTAATTTTTACCATACGAAGCATCAAATTGATAAAGGACTGCATTAATTATTATTGATGCTTCCTCCCTGTCCATTTTAATGATTTTCCTTACATTTGGCTGTTGAATAGGGCCTCTGCTTTCTTACAAGCATTATTAACGTGTGCTGGTTTTATTTTCTTACTTTCTGCCTTGTCCTTTAACCTTCATGGCTTCTTTCCCTAATATCCTATTGTGTTGTACATTTATCGTATTAATATTTAAAATGTTTCTGTTATCTATCTCATGTCTGTCAAATTTCTCTTTTTCATCTTAGTTATTAAATCGAGACCTGACACTACAAAGCTGACTTCCAGGTCTTATTTCTTCCTCTAGCTTATCAGAGGAGTTGGGGAGCTCCTAGTTCCTTTTTTGCATTGTTTTAATTCATAATTTGACTCTCCAGCTATCATCTCCTTGTGATAAGCCAGCCAGGGCAAACTGATATGCTGATAATTTTACTTCAGCAATAGTTGGAGAGATGGCTTTTTTAGAGGGCTCAGTAAATCTAAAACTCAAGTTGGCTTATGTAAAACCTACATTGCTATTAAGTAGATGTGTTCTGTATCTAAAGGTTCCAAATCAGAGTTTACATTATTGGTGACAGTATTGATATTGTGGCTGATGATATAAAATGATAGGTAATGCCTCTATACAACAAATACTGAACCAGGATTTAATACCTTAAATTCTGTCCAAGCATACCTTTACATATATGTCCATGATTGTTTAGGGAGAACCCTGCCAGTTCTGTAGTCGTAGAGATTTGTCAATAATGGGGCACTATAACATTTTCTTGCATTATTGTGACATTTCATTATGAATTAAAATTTTGATTGAACTCACTTGTTCTATTTTTTTTTTTACACATGCATTTGTAATTTTAGCAGTGATCTGTAAATCAGTAATTAGGATTTCCTGCTTAAAATAATCTCGGGCTAATGGAGATTCTGTTGGTTTTCACTTGGGTCAAACCTGACCCATATTTTAAGATCTATAGATATTACAATGCTTTTAAAAAGCCTTACTTGTAGTATAGATTACATTTTGTGAGAACATTTTCTTTTCAGAGCTCCTGTCAGTCCAGTCAAACCTTAGAGCCAGAATTAGCAAATATGTCACCAGCACACCAAAAAGATTTCCACAAATGTCCATTTAATGACATATTGCCATTCAATTACACGAGTAAGATGTGCTGGTGACATCTTTGCTAATTCTGTGTTGGTCACTGCAAGCACCCACCTGTCGTTGCAGGTTAACCACTTGCAAGGTTTGGAGATATCTACTCCAAACCTTAGTCAGTCCCAAGATCCTCCAAGTCCATCATGTGACTTCACCTGTATCATAAACCTGTTTGCTGCCTTTTCATGGACATGTGTATTTACACAGAAACTCCAACTGGACTTAAAAGCATTGCATCTATGCTAAGAAGGGGACCTTGGTTGTACCCATTTTCTTAACTTAATAACCTTCCATTTGGAACCTCTGGAGCTTTTTACAGTTTTTTATTTAGGGCAACTTGTGTTTTTAGGTTTAGTGCCCCTCTCAAGCAAAATATATTTCTCTTATACTATAACTGCCTCATACTTCTGTCTGTTATTCATTTTATGACTATCTGTCTGTCTCTCTGTTCCGCTCTGTTGTATGTCTCTGTCCTCTCAATGACTTTTCATTTCTTTGTCTGTCTAGACCAAAAAGGCTTCTGGTGACAAACTCATGGATGGTTCTGATATCTACAGTTTATTAGAGTCTTCAAGAAAGCCATCTGAGTTTATAGGAGAGGTTACAACTACTTCACAAAACTGGGCTCAGGTGGCTACTTAATTGGATGTGCTTAGTAGCTTCTATATAAAGCTTCTGATATAATAGTAATATGTGCATGATTTCTTTTTTTATGACAAGGAAAGAGAAGGCGATGTGACATTGCTATAGCTGAAGTGACACAACGATCTACAATCGCTGCTACACTTAGAACCATTTAGATAATACTCTGAAAATATTCCACATAAAATGTTTCTTGAAAAGTAGAAGCTTGGAGGAGAAAAATATACAGCATCTTGGCTATTTGTTGCCAAGTAATGGAAATTCTATTGCTGCAAATTTTGCATTTAATGAGACGTAAAATAAGAAACAAAAAGGAAATAAAATACTTAGATTTGACAAGGAAGCTTTAGTGCTGCATTATTATATGCTAGAAATGGTCTGGAAACATGTGTAAACATCAATAAATTCTCTTTCTCTCCATCAGTTAATTTAGTGGTCGGTTGAATATAAATAAAAAGAAGGAAAATGTTTTAGATTAGTTTCCAATTTTGCATTTCATTGCCCAAGAGCATATGATTTATAGTATTCATTTTTAAAAAGGTATATGCAAGTATTAAGATCTACTGTTTCTCTAGATACTCGCAGACAACTGTGAGGGGCCAATTCATAAACAAATGGAGATGCATATTATAATCTATTTTTAAATAATTACTTTTTGTTTATATCTGCATTTAATGATTTGGGCATTGGAAATAAATCTCCAAGTTTCGTGTCCTCATTGTTGTTATAAATTGTTTGGCACTAGTAAGATGTAGTGTCAGAGAAATGCAGCTGTCAGTAAAGTACTGGACCTCGATCTGGGTGTGATTTTTGTCTTGGTCCCCCTGCGCTTGCCACTTTGTCCTTAGAGCTTGTGTGCTATTTATGCCACTGCAGTGATAACCATATATTGGTTTATCCCAGCAGTCTTGCTAAAGGAAAAAAATGGGATAATATAGCCTTAAACTATATCCAGGCCTAACCCAGATAAAAGAACTTTGAAGAGCCTTTTAAATTATGGCTCTATTGCGGCTTCAGCATGGTACGGTGACTATATAACCATATAGGATCTATTCAGCTCCTATACACTTCATACCTTTCACGGAACAAATAGAAGTCATCCTATGCATATTAAAAATGTGCTGAATTCTGTCACTGGCAGGAAATAAAGGTTGAAGTGTCAGCTGAGAGTGCTTTCCTGCCTTGGTAAAGGCTAAAGTGTATCTAAACCCATGAACAACAATTTGATGTATTTCAGCTTACCAGTACTTGGGATGTGGTGGCTGAATTAGTTTCAGCATTTATATTTTTTTCAGACTTTTACTCTTTATTCTTTACTGGCAACCCTGCCAGTAACACACTTCCTGTCCTATGGTCACAATACTCACTCACTGTACTATATCTGTGTATCTATGCTTTGTTGTCTCCCTGGAACAGGAAGTGTACTAGGATTACACAACACCTCTTTGTTTACATAACATATTGGGAGTTGTTCTGTAGTCCACAGAGAGAGCTTGGAACAATGCTCTCTGATAAATTAGCAGAGGCAGAAAGCACAGTTATCAGCTCACAAGATTTTTGCCAGAATCAACAGGTATTTTCCCTTCATTTTACAATCATATTAACAAAATACTTTCAATGTATCTTGAAAGAAACCGACAGGGAGCAAAAAAGAGAAGGTGTCATGTTTTACCTATACTTCATGTGATATATTTATAAAGCAGTTAATCTGGTGGTGAATCAATCACGGTCATTAAAAACATGCTCCTAAAATATTTACCTCCATTAAATGTCAAATTTCATCCTATGTAAATATGCCCCATAAGACTTGTTCAACCACTATGGTTGCATGAGGGGTCACATGGGTGTTTTCTTGCTTTAACCTAGGCCTGTGTGCTAGACCATTCGTTTTTTCCTTTGTTTTCAATTTTGTCTTTACTTTTTTGCTTCTAATGTTCATGTTTTGCACTTCGGTATTTTTACATTTGAAATCTGAAGATTTGTATAGCTTGAATAATTTGCAAACCACCTTGAGACTATTATTTATTTGACCTATTTTTTTTTTTTTTAGAAGACTGAATCAAAAACAGAATGGGAAACCATTGGCACGGAAGTGGGACAAGAGGACACAGAGCAAAGAATGAAAGAGAAGGTTGTGCAGGGGATAATCAGTTTGGAGGAGACGGGGAGTGTGCATGCAAGCGGGGATGCTGCTCAACTGAGTGCAGAGCAGTTGGATGGTGCAGCTAAGGCAAATGCAGTCATTGCTTCTTGCTTGAAAGGGAGTGAGGAAGCTGATAAAGAGGAAGATGTGGCTGTTGATGCTTCTGCTGCTAGTTATGCTCAAGAGGAGCAGCATGGCTCAGATATTCATGACACACAGCTATTGGATGGCAAGCCTCATGACGAGGTAACTGGCTAACATTGACTTTGCCCCTTTTGTATATCTTACATGTGCAGATGATAATTCTTTCAAAAACCCATGCTTCTGCTTTATAGTGCTCTGCTTCAGAACATTGATTTTATTTTTGCTTGCTTTATTTTCCTTTGTTGTTTAGAGGGTACATTGTCCAGTAAAAATCCACTAAAGTATATTCAACTCAAATTTGCCTTTGGAAATAATGTGCATGATCTATTAGGATAGTCAAATTTCATTGTGAAAACAAATCATAATTGAAATGCACTGCAGTAGTTCTCAAACATTACTCTAATTTGGCTCTATTGTTTCAGTACCAATATCTGTCTGTATGAGGTTCTACGTTAATCTCACCCTTGACATTTCTTTTGCTGTCAACTTAAAGCAGAAGATGATAGTAAAGCAGTCCTCTCTTAATTTTCTTTTTATTGCTGTGGAGAATTTAAATGGATCTGGAGTATTCTGTCTACAACAAGCATAGATAGTAACTGCTGTAGCAGAAGGGCAGTACAGGGCTCAGCAACTGTATCTTGCCACTGTCACCATTTAAGTAAAGAAATGCCAGGATTGTGTATTGGTATTCCAGTGGAATGGAATCCAATTCCATTGGGTTCCTATAAATATTGTGTATAGATATTCTATCTAAACCTTTTATTTTTTGTTTTTGTTTACATAACCACGTTTATGCAAACATGAGGAAGGTATCGGTTTTTAATGTAATCCTAGATAGCCACACTAAATTTGTAAATGCTAATTCATTCAGGCTAACAACATTTTGGTATAAACCAACCCGTTTGCTTTGTGCCACTATCTTAAGGCACCCAGATAAATTGGATGCCCGTTTGTTACCTGTTCTAACATGGCATTCATCTCTTTGGTGTGGTACATTGCCACAAATTACCTCAGGAACCATCCATTGACCAAACAGTCTATTAAACTGGAAGTCTTACTGTCAACTGTTAGACAATTATTTTCCGCTGACTGTAAAAAATAGAAAAAACTTATCTTGGATCTTTAATCTAAAGAAAAATGAAATTCTCTTTTCACTCAGTCACCCCTGGTGAAAACCGAGATCATCACTTTTGGCACTATCGCAGATGGGGAGAAGCTGGATATTCCCACAAAAGATGTACCCGTAATACATACAGAAACTAAAACCATTACCTACGAGTCACCAGAGGTAATATACATTGAAAGGAAGTCCTGTTACTGTTTTGTTTTGGGGGTTTTACCGGTGCTAGTTACAGTCTACATCATTCTAAAAATCCTGTTTTGCACAATTTGTATTCTTCCTAAAAACTATTAGAAAAATAATATACTTTTTCCCAGTTTTTTTGGGTAAAATTAGGTACCTCGGCTTATATTCGGGACGGCTTATACTCGAGTATATACGGTAATAACATAGAGGACACCTACGACTGCAGTGCACATCTCTGCATCTCTTAGGTTAGACAGATTTTATAGCAATTTCCTTTGTAACCATGTGAAGGCACTGTAGGTACATTGTGCAGAAGGTTACTTTTTTTTAGAGTTCTATAGCAAAATCTTGGATCCAGCAATGGACTCAGACTGGGAGTGACATCTGTAGTTTCTAGCATTCCACATATAGGACTCTGAAGCGTAATGCCATTTAATTAAGAAGAGCTGCCACAGATCTCAGATAACAGGAAAACAAGACTATCTTATTTTTTTTAGAAAAAAAGTTTAGTTTATTTAAGTTTGACCCTAAATGTAAATGCATACATACATAAACCTATTTATCTAATTTAAAATGTATGCCTTCCTAAATTCAAATGTAAAAGTTACTTTGAGGAAAACTTGATACCTGTTCCCTTTAGTGATGCTATTGTCCTGGACCCACTAATAGTGTTCTGGGTCCTGATAGAAACTATTTGGAAAACTGTTTTGCCAGTACAGTAATACAAATATTATAGGTGGTTGGATAAGGATAAGATTGGTTTAGATATTTTTGAAAAATAGAGCTCTCTTCTACAACTCAGGTGAAGTACAACATGTCTAAATAAAACTGCCCAGCTGTATACATAACAAGATTTTTTTTTTTTCTTTGTTGGTTATAAAAAGGTAATCATTCTAGGCAATTTTGTGTATGAAAAATGTCACCATTGAGCCATGTTCAAAATACAATTCAATACTTTACATGTGGCATTTTCATTATGTCAGTATATTTCATTTCATGGAATTTTCCCAACAGCAATCAATGATAATTATGAAGCTAGTCGATGCTTTGGCCACATACACATGCCTTACCCGATATGGTCAATCAGACTTTGTTTAACCACTTGCTGACCGGGGTGTTTATACCCCCTTCCTGTCCAGGCCGTTTTTCAGTATTCAGCGCTGCGGTACTTTGGCTGACGCTTATTCCGTCATGCAACGCTGTACTGAAATTAATTTTATACCATTTTTTGGGGACACGTAGAGCTTTCTTTTGGTGGTATTTAATCACCACTGGGGTTTTTATTTTTTATTTTTACTATATAACAAAAAAAGTACTGAATATTTTTTTAAAAATGGGTTTCTCTTTATTATTTTAGGAAACATTTATTTTTACCCAATTTTTTGCTAAAATATAAAATTTAGGGTCACGTCGGGTAAATAGACACCAAACATGTCAAGCCTTAAAATTGCGCGCGCCCGCAAAATCGCAAAAAAACCAACCTAGCCAAAATTGGTCAGAGGCGACGCTTTAAAACATTTTACCGCTCATCAGTTTAGTGTTATCAGTGATTGATGGCCCTAAAATTATTGCGACGTTTGCGGCGATATGTAACACGTTCGGCATAATTGGAGCAATCGTCGTTTTTGCATGTAGGCGCATCGAACACATTTTTGCGCATCTATGTGGGGATGGGGGACTTTAAAAAAAATTTGTGGGGTTTTTTTTTGTGTGTACATTTTTATTTATTTTGTGAGCAATTTTTTTTTTAAACTTTTTTTTACACTTTATTGTTATCACATAGGGTGCTAAGAAGTACCCTATGTGATAACAAATTACAGTGATGGGTCCCCTTTATGGAGAGATCAGGGGTCTCTAAGACCCCTAATGTCACCTAGGGACCCCCAGAGAAGCTGATGAAGCACAGATCTGCTTCATCAGCTTCTCTCCGGTTTCTGTACCGGAGAGGACGTCTAAAGACACCCACCCGCATCCAGGAGACTCCCTTTTTTTGCTAAAATATAAAATTTAGGGTCACGTCGGGTAAATAGACACCAAACATGTCAAGCCTTAAAATTGCGCGCGCCCGCAAAATCGCAAAAAAACCAACCTAGCCAAAATTGGTCAGAGGCGACGCTTTAAAACATTTTACCGCTCATCAGTTTAGTGTTATCAGTGATTGATGGCCCTAAAATTATTGCGACGTTTGCGGCGATATGTAACACGTTCGGCATAATTGGAGCAATCGTCGTTTTTGCATGTAGGCGCATCGAACACATTTTTGCGCATCTATGTGGGGATGGGGGACTTTAAAAAAAATTTGTGGGGTTTTTTTTTGTGTGTACATTTTTATTTATTTTGTGAGCAATTTTTTTTTTAAACTTTTTTTT